CATCGCGGCTCATTTTTTATATTTTTTGTGAAATGTCTCTACACATAGATGGCTCTGTCTTACCTGATTTCATTGGCGGGAAAATGTATTTTTTTATTAATGCTATGAATATCGATGGTCATTTTTATTATAAACTTTATAATTACTATAATGTTATAAACATTAGTAACAGCAAAATAAGATAACGTAAGGTATTTCCATATATCAAAGAAAGGGTAAACAGGCGTGACAGGCAGTACAAGTACAAGTGTAGCCATCTATGTGGAAAAACAATTAAACAAGTAAACTCACAGTGGGCATGTCACATATACATGCCACCCAGCGCAAATGAGTTAATAATACTACTATCTTTTGTATATTTTTCTACTTCGTAATTTAAAAAAAAACTCTTTGTGAGAAAAATGTGTTTACATACAAATGATTATTATTTTGTGTGAAAACTATTACATTAATTCAACATTATATCAACATTATATCCAATGAGCTGCTTTTTTAAGAAGGGCATGTGGATTCTGATAAAGTAATCATAGATACTGCCATTTTGCCAAACAAAGACATTTGTTCTGCATCAAGTACATATTCCTATTAGAACCACCATTGTGTATACATTTATAAATCCTGTGCATCTCATCCATAGCATATATAAGAATGAGATCATCTGTACTAAAGAGGAGAGTACATACACACAATTACCACTATTACTTCTTGATTATTTTACAGTTAGTCAAGGTAATTGTTATTCATCATCAGTTTCTTATAAACTCTGATTATTGAAATCTTTTCTCTGAAGCATCATAATAATAATAGTAATAATAATAATAATAATAATAATAATAATAATAATAATAATAATAATAATAATAATAATAATAACAATAATAATAATAGTAGTAATAGTAATAGTAATAGTAGTAGTAGCAGTAGTAGTAGTAGTAGTAGTAGTAGTAGTAGTAGTAGTAGTAGTAGTAGTAGTGGTAGTAGTAGTAGTAGTAGTAGTAGTAGTAGTAGTAGTAGTAGTAGTAGTAGTAGTAGTAGTAGTAGTAGTAGTAGTAGTAGTAGTAGTAGTATAGTAATAGTAATAGTAATAGTAATAGTAATAGTAATAGTAATAGTAATAGTAGTAGTAGTAGTAGTAGTAGTAGTAGTAGTAGTAGTAGTAGTAGTAGTAGTAGTAGTAGTAGTAATAATAATAATAATAATAATAAGAGAAGTAGAGGAAGAACAACAACAACATACAATAATAACAACAATAATAATAGTAATAAGAACATGAACCTTTTACCAGAAATACAAGGAATAAGATACACAGTTTACATCTGGTAAGCCTATTAATTCACTTCTTGGTGATTAAGTGCTTGTAAACAAAATGGAAGTGAAAAAAACACGCATTCCTTAGTAAAATATAGGTGCTATCAAAATCTTTGATCACAGGATACAACATACGAACAGCATTTTTTCATTACACTATATCTAAAGGAAATAGGTAGTCTCTATCACTCCACTGTGAGATCTCCAGTTCTTGCTACTGTTCTACAATGAAGCACTGTTCAGTTATATAAGGCATGTGTAAAAGTTAAATAACAGTCACTTGGAAAGATACAAACTGACATACTAAGTATCATAAAATACTTAAGAAGAAATAAAAGCATCTGTTACACCTGCTTCTCTCATGAATCTTGCCCAAAGTATTGGAAACTGAGGCTGATATTTCTCTCTGACACTCTCTTCTCTTCAATTTCCTTCTCCAACCATTTTAGGAATAATGCACCCAGATTCTGAAAAAGAAATAATTTCTGACTAGATGATAAAAATAAAAAACTGTAGAAGATCAACTGTAGTAATGTAATTCACATTATGTTCCAAAGTCGTAGAAGTAATGGTGAAAATAGTTAACCATCCACCTCTGAGAGACTTTTTTTTGTAACTAATACAATTATACTTAGAAGTGCAGACTTCAACCTTAAACAGATTAATGATTTGAAATTACAAAAATATGCACTAAAATTCAGGAAAAAATATCAAGCACAGGCTTTCAAACATACATTCACACACACACGCACTCATGTACATGCACACGCACACACACACACACACACACACACACACACACACACACACACACACACACACACACACACACACACACACACACACACACACACACACACACACACACACACACACGCACACACACACACAAATTTCATTTCTTTATCGGGAATATTAATTCACATTCTCAATATGCATATCTTAAATATTTAGGTGTTATATGAGATAGCTTAACCCAATGCTGCTGGAAACTTGTAATAAGAGGATTTAAGAGTTGTTCCTAAGGAGTTAATTAGTAATCTGCATGACCTCAACTTATTTCCCATTCTTTGAGCTTAGTTTTTTTATTGCTATTAACAATAATGCTGTTATAATTACTGATGACATTGTGATTACTATTATGTTATTAACAATACTAATAGCAATTTAAACCAAAAACAAATACTTCAGAAAATCAAGGAAAACGGAAAAACAAATGACACAGGAGACTAATGGTTAATGGTTAATGGTTAAAAGCAAGATAAATGTGCTAGACATCTAAGGTCATGTAGCACTATAGTTAATGTTAGTGAAAGGTGGTTGAGTTAGTGATTAGTTGTCTAAGCTGGGCAAAGGAATTGGTGAGTTAAAGGGTTAAGGTCGGGTGTTAGATTAGATAAAGGATATGTATGCGTTTGAGGAAAGAGAACAGGTTGTTGATGCAGAAAGTGTGGGATTCTGTAAGGATGTCTGATAGGTTGGGAGGTCGGTGAAGGGAGGATAGGTGGGGGAAAGCAGAGGTACGGGCTGCTTCAAAACGTGGGCACGACAATAGGATGTGTACGATTGAAAGGGGAACATTACATAAGGAACATAGGGGTGGATCAGATTGTGACATCAGATAGGAGTGTGTTAGACGGGTGTGGCCAATGCGTAAGCGGGCGAGAGCAGTCTCCCAACGTCTGTTCCGATGAAATGGAGCTGACCAGGAGGAGATTGATAGTTTTACAGAATGTAATTTATTAGTGTGGAGGCTTGACCAGAAAGATTGCCATCGTTTATACAAGAAGGTCTTAAAGTGTGGGTAATAATCCGTGGCTGGGATACGTGAGAAGCGTGGTTGGTATGATGTGGACATAGCAGCGTGGCGTGCTAGTGTATCTGCCTGTTCATTGCCGGGGATTCCAACATGGCTGGGCACCCAGCAAAATTTGATTGTTTTGTGGCGTGTGGACAGGTAGAACAACCAGTTCTGGATCTTACAAACAAGGGGGTTGGTGGTGTGTATTGACTTTATGAGAGTTAATGAGCTACGGGAGTCAGTAAAAATTGTAAAAGAGGAAGAGGAGAGTGAGTATATGTGTTTTAGGGCAAAAAGGAGTGCATACAGTTCAGTAGTAAGGACACTGGATTCAGGAGGAAGGGAGTATTTGAAAGTACGAGTTGGGAATATTACTGCAAAACCAGCACCAGAGGTGGATTTGGAGCCATCAGTATATACGTGTATACTAGAGGAATGGGTGGAGACATGGTCAAGGAAATGGATGAGAAGGACAGTAGGAGGAATATTTGATTTTGGTGGGTCGGGGAAAACAGAAGAGCAAATATGGGGGTGAGGTATAAGCCATGGAGGGACGGAATGGACAGAGAACGGGAGAGGTTGGAGATGGGGGAAAGGGGAATGGGAGAGGAGGGTATCCATGCGAGTGGAGAAAGGAGTAGGTGGAGATGAAGCTAAGGTAGGAAGTAGGGATTGTGGGATAGTTAGTTTAGTGAGGGGAAGTTGGTGGAAACGAACATAACATCGGAGTGAGAGCAGGGCACGACGTCTAGATAGAGATGGTATGCCTGATTCAGTATACAGGCTCTCAACTGGAGAGGAGCGGAAGGCGCCTAGTGCTAAGCGAAGACCACAGTGATGGATTGTGTCAAGATGGGCAAGGAGAGAAGTTGAGGCAGAGGAGTAGATATGGCATCCATAATCAAGAGTGGAGAGGATCAAAGTAACATGAAGATGAAGGAGAGTTTTGCGATCTGAGCCCCATGATATATGGGATAGAGTTTTTAAAATTCGAAGGCGGCGGAGAGCTTTTTCTTTAATGTGTAGAATATGGTCTCGCCAGGTCAGTTTGGAGTCAAAAATGACGCCTAGGAATTTGCCAGAGGAACGGCATTGGAGTGGAGTGCCATATAGGAAGAGTGGGGGTAGGGGATTTACACGTGAGCGAGAGAAAAGGATGGAGAAAGATTTAGAGATAGAAAAGCGGAAGCCATGGTTTGTGGCCCAGGAAGATACTGATGAGATTGCAGATTGAATGGTTAATGGTTAATGGTTAAAAGCAAGATAAATGTGCTAGACATCTAAGGTCATGTAGCACTATAGTTAATGTTAGTGAAGGGTGGTTGAGTTAGTGATTAGTTGTCTAAGCTGGGCAAAGGAATTAGTGAGTGAAAGGGTTAAGGTCGGGTGTTATATTAGATAAAGGGTATGCATAAGAAAGGTTTCTTGAGGCATACAATAGATGGGTTATAAGAGGAAAGGATATGATGGTCAGGTCTGTGGGAGCAGAAACCGCGAATATTCCAATGAAGGATAGTTATACTTTCGTTGATTTAGTGATATAGATTGTAGTACGTGTTGGAGAATTTGAAGGGGAAGCAGCTAGAGGGTGGGATAAGGACTGAGAGGTTTGAGATGGGAGAGGTGTGGGAGTTGGTGTTCTATCAGGAGGGGTAGTAGGAGATGGAGGGTCTGAGGAAGGGGATACTTGTGACATAAGGGATTCACGTGTGTATCCAGGAGGGAGTGGAAGGGATAGAGGGGATGGTGGGAGAGTTAATGTGGGCAGGGTTGGGGCCAGGGGGGATGGGCTGTGTTGGGAGGGGGTAGGAGGGTAGGGTGTAGGGGGGATATCGTTAGGAGGAGGATGGATATCAGCAATTACTTGGAGTGTGGAAGGAGCAGGAGTTGTAGGTTGAGTGTCGGTTTTCATTAAGTAATCTTGAATATTTTCAATAGTTTCTTCTGTGGAGTTGGTTGGGGAGTTTTGGGGGATAAAGGATTTCTTGTGAGGGGGGGAAGAGAGGACTGGTGTCTCAAGAGTACGGGCAAAGGATGGTGGGGGTGATTGTGTGGTAGGGGAAGAGGGGGTGGAACGTTTGTTCTGTCTGTTACGGGGAGTGCGAGGAGGGAGAGGGGAAGGTGTTGGGGTTGTAGTGGTGATTGGAGTATCTGTAGTAGAGATTGGAGTTTCTGGATTTAGGATGGCAAAAGAGTTTGACTGGGGAAGGTAGGTGGGGTTAGTGGGGGGGTTAGATGTAGGAGGGGTGGGTTTAGGAGAAGTGTTAGGATGAGCAGTATTACTGGAGTAAGGAGTAAGAGAGAATCCACGTCGACGTGCTTCCTGTCTGGCTTCACGCAGTGTGAGTCCGAGTTTGAATCTGAGAGTTGCTACCTCAGATTCAAATTTGTAGGTGGGACAGCCCCTATAAAATACATTATGGGGGCCGCCACAGTTGGCACATGTGCGTGATTGTGCAGAGCAGTTAGATCGGGTATGGCCAGGTTGGGCACATAATGGGCATCTGGCTGTGGAACGGCAGTGTTTGGCTGGGTGTCCTAGACGCCAACAATTTTGGCACTGACGTGGAGGAGGTTGGTATGGACGAACAGGGAGGGATTCTCCTCCTATGTAGACGTTAAAGGGAAGTTCATGTCTACGGAAGGTAATTTTGGCTATGTTAGTGGGTTTCTTTCGATGACCTCTGGGGGGGATGGAATAGCATTGTACTGATGTTGCATCGTAGTCTGTGAGACAGGCAAGTAGATCTTCTCCACAATCTGACCATTCTTTGTCATAGATTGGGCAATTTGTTGGTGAGATTGAGACTGTTCCGGTGCAAGTATTGAGGGTTGGATGGGGTTCTGCTAGGATGGGGTTACCATATAGGTCAGTTAGTTTTTTTAATGCTATGGCTTGGTTTTCAGATGTTACTGTTACAAGACGGGAGCGGTCGGGTCGGCTACGGAAAGAGACTTTACCTACTTGTTTTTGGAGGCATTGTTGGAAGAGAAGGGTGTTGTTAGAGTAGGGAGCTGTGGGAGGGATCACGAAAAATCGGTCCCATTTGGCTGCACTGAAGAGAGTATTCAAGATTGTTTTAGAGATAGGGGTGGTAGAAGGGCAAGGGCGTGACGAAGATGGAGTAGTGTTGATGGAGGTAGTGTTATGGAAAGGTGGGCTATAAGGCTGTAAGGTATTAATAAGGGAGGATGGGGTGGTTGATGTTGGAGGTTGTGGGGGTAGAGGTGTTGAAGTTGGGCATGCTGGGAGAGTGGAAATGTCCCTTGAGGGTTGATTGTTGGCTACTGTACTAGTAGGCATTGGTGAAGGGGTAGTTATTGCAGTGTTTGGAGCCGTGGTCAAAGGAGAGCCTGGGGTCGGGGAATCGGGTGGGTTTACTTCGTTGGGGCTATTTGATAAAGGGGCAAGCCTCATTGCCCCTAACAGTGGGGATATATTTTCATTACTGGCCATGGGAAGCCTGGATTATGTTGGGGATAAAAGCAGTCCACCCCTCAGGGTCCCCTTGAGGGGTAAGGGCTAGATAACTAAATCAGGGGAATACCGTGCCCATGGCTCCCTCAGGCCGTTCAGGACTGGCACAAAGTCAGCCTTTCATCCTTTCAGCACGGCTCTCACACCTTAGGAGGTGGATAGCAGAAGGGTTTGGTGAAGGGACAGAAACAAAAGTGGGGAGGGAAAAAAAAGACCATGCATAATTAGTTGAGTCGAGGGCTGAGTCCCAAGGTTGGGGAGTTCCCCATCATTGGGTCCCCAGTCTCCGCCTCCTAAGCCCCCCCACGACAACAACGGGCAAGGGATTGGGGGGGTAAGTAGGAGGTAGAAGAGGGGGAGTTAGATGGTAGGTTTAGGAGAGGGTGTAGGAGCTTGGGAAGTAGGGGAAGTGGTAGAATGAGCAATATTACTGGGGTAGGGATTAAGAGAAAAACCTCGTCGACATGCTTCCTGTCTGGCTTCACGAAGTGTGAGTCCAAGTTTGAATCTGAGAGTTGCTACTGAAAGAGTTGCTACCACTGCCGCTGCGCTGCGAGTCCCCTACTTAAGAACATTCTACTTATGAACATTCCATACATACGAACAATTTTTTTTTTAAATACTAAAGTCCAAAATTTTTTTTGAAAAATGCTAGCAAACCAATTTCCCGGGCACGAATATAGTTCACGAGTCACTCAGCTGTGCGCATTACTCTCCTCAGTCGCCTGCCCTCCCGCCATAAATACGAAAGCATCTGTTCTCTGTGTCCTTATGTTCCGCCAATTTTTATGCGATAATTCGCTTTACCTGTGCATCAATCCATCAAAAATGTCGGGTGTGAAGAGAAAGATAAACGGTGAAGCCAGTGGAAGTGCCAAGAAACGTCAAACAAATCCAAGTGAACAAGGTAAATCTTACGAGTTTCCTAATTCTTATATCAAGCATGCAATGTTTTCAGTTTTATATTTCCTGTAAAATGCTTTCATATATGTAACTGACATAGCCCTAACATTAAAATGTGTAACCTAAATGCGAGTCTGTAACCTAGCGGTAACCATGGCAGCTGTTTGACCACAATATACAGACGCTTAGTCATCCCAGATTTATAGTCACTTGTTCAATTCCAGTGATCGACGCCATGTTAATTTATCCATGTTTATCGATCTTTCTCAGTATGGCATGGTATCATCCCCGGTTTAACGGACGTAGGCTTCGCGTTGTGTGACAGCCCTGGTTGTGTTCTCCCCTGCTCAGCTGACCACATGCCATCTTATCGATCAGTTTGCCAGCCATCACCACTACAATATATTTTCTTTTTGAATAAATTATGTTTCTACATTAAAGTTGTGTGAATCACCATCAAATAATATTAAAAGCATTACATATTACAGGTACTGTATAAGGTATGTCGTACTTATTGGGATTTATTTACAGGTATTCTTAACCCCTTGGTGCCGAGTATGACGTGTACGTACGTGCTATGCCCACCGTGAGTACTTGTTTTATTGTTTTTATGCATAGATGGCAACACTTGTACTAAATCACCAATGAGCCAACTACAAGCACCGCCCGTCTCGCCTGTTTACCCGTTTCTTTGATTTACAAAATATTTTACGTAATCTTATTTTGCTGTTACTAATGTTAAAAAAAATTATAAAAATTATAATGTTTATGATAAAATAACACCATCGATTTTCATTTAAATCAGGCGCTAGCAGAGCCATCTATCGGCAGACATTTCACGAAAAACATAGAAAGTGGGCACAATATTTTCCCCATTTTTTGTTCATTTTCCCCAGCACCATTGGGTTAAATCAGGCGCTAGCAGAGCCATCTATCGGCAGACATTTCACGAAAAACATAGAAAGTGGGCACAATATTTTCCCCATTTTTTGTTCATTTTCCCCGGCACCATTGGGTTAATGTACGCAAAACTTTAAAACAATGGGAAAAAAGGTAATGGAGACCCGACTTTCGCCATACAAACAAATCGACTTACAAACAGCCTCTCGGTCCCCACTATGTTCTTAAGTTGGGGACTTACTGTATATGTGTGTGTGTGTGTGTACCAGTGCATTTGCGTGTGCCTGTGTTGTATATGTGTATGTGTGAGTGCATGTGTGTGGGTATGGGAAGGGCCCATACTACCTTGCACAATATTAGTATAAGATATATAGTGCTTCATTCCATCAAGTATATCAATACAAATCAGTTCTGGAAAGGAATAAACATCAATACAAAAGAATCATTTTCTAAAAGAGCCTGACACAGGATATAAATATAAACTCATCGAATAAATGGAAGCCATCACTATTGTAAAAATTTTCCAAGCAATAATTTATAAAGAACTTGAACTTTCAATATTGCAACAATACTTTCTGGAAAAACAAACAATATACATAATACATTAGAAAATGAAAGAATGATATGGCACCAATAAAAAAGGCGAGGAAAAAAATAGAACCAATCCTTATAAACAACCATTACCTTCCACTTATTAAGGTATTCATCAGAAAAGTTCAACCATTCTTGAATTTCTTCAAAGCGTTTCCTCGTCAATCTGATCATGCTCTCCAAAGACCAGTTTTGCCTTCGCTTCGCCCCCAGAAAACAGAAGATGGCTTTCTCTCTCAAAGCTCTCATCATGACATACCACATGCTCTTCACCTTCGCCATTCCAATGGTCTCCTCCTTTATCAGTTATGTGATACAGCACTTCTCCTTCACTGTTTAACAACCTTTTGACCTGTGGATATACATTTGTGTTAGTATTTCAAATATATATTCTTCAGACATGTGCAAAATATCTATACACTATGTATAAGAAATATATATATATATTTACATATATCTATATATATAATATACATAATTATTATATATACACATATACATAAATATATACTATATATAATATATTATAAATATACATATATGTATATATATATGGGTGGGTGCTTCATGCTCGGGGTGATGTGAAGCAATGGTGTGGTAGCCTAGATAGTGTTAAGTGCTTGCATGCCTTCTCGCTTATAGCTGCCACCGCTGGCTAGCCTGGTGCGAAAAGGGAGCAGCTATGCATAAGACTCCCCTGCCAGCTCATAGCCTCTCCATCATCAAGACTTCTGCAGTGCCTCTACGTGGCCTCCCATGGAAACTAGGCACCTTGCGGTCCTAGGCTGAGCTGTGGAGGCTCTTGGAGCAGCAGGTGGCCCTAAAGGTATGGAGTCATGGCCCACTGGCGTGTGGACACGCCCTGACTTCGTACTTACTCCTGCCCCCGTGCCCCTTGGGGTCAATGGGCGGCTGTGGGGAGGCAGGTCTTGCCAGTCGGCCCCCCGAGAGAACCTTATTGGCACCAAAACATATAGCCCACCCAGCAAGTAAGGCGGGCTGTGGGTCCCACTGGGTTGGTGACCGCTGGGATTCGGGTAGGAGACAGGGGTTACCCGTCACCCGATCAGGGTCCTGGCGGCCGCCAGCCTGGCATGAAGCTTGTGGGGGAAAGCCCCTGGGAGCCCGCAGGCAGATATATAGATAGATGGATATATATACATATGGATATAGATATTGATTTAGATATAGAAATGCGAGGAAAAGAGAAAAAAATACATATATCTATATATATATATATTATACATATATATTATATATATGTATATATATATTATATTTATATATACAGTAAGTCCCCAACTTAAGAACATAATGGGGACTGAGAGGCTGTTTGTAAGTTGATTTGTTTGTATGTCGAAAGTCAGGTCTCCATTACCTTTTTTTCCATTGTTTTAAAGTTTGCATTAAGAATACCTGTAAATAAATCCCAATAAGTACGACATACCTTATACAGTACCAGATTCTTTAACTATATTCGCACCTGGGAAATTTGAAGTTTGCTAGCATCTTTCAAACAATTTTTTGGACTTAAGTA